TCTATTTTACGGTATTATATCGTTTATGCCATACAAGCTGGCAGAAAGGACAAAGTGATAGAGTTGTTTGACATACATGGGAGTGAATTGCTGCAAAAAGACCAAGAGTGGGCCTCGTGGTTTGGTGGGTCCTCTTTCAGTTATCTATCTTACTAAATTATGAAACTTTCTTCTCATATTAAATTGACATGTAAACATTTCATGCAGCAATTCCATATATTAAAACTCCTCAATCAGATCCCCAGTTTCGGGTATACTTTTCTAAGGAGTGGTCCAATGCTCTACATCTATCTCTTAGAAATTTTGTAAGCAAGATGTTTAATGGCACTCATATCCTTAAGTATATATTGTCACATTTTTTATCCTAGTTATCACATAAATTTTCTAGCTTTTAATTCGAGTAGTTGCTCTACAAGTGATAATAATAATAGTTCTGTTGATATCTTTGGACTTGGTTGTTTAGGAAGTAGATTCACTCACCCTGATGCATGTCATCGATGATGGACAGTCTACCATGTTGCAGATGTTTGCTTTTTAATTGTTAACCATATGTTTTCTTTACCACTGTGCTTTCATTGAGTTTCTCCTTAGCCATGTCACGTATCCCTGCGTTAATGAAGATCAGTTCTGAAAGGAACATGGTGAGTCGCCTCAAAGGAGATATCAAGCAACTTAATTTCAAACTTGCACAACTTCAAGCATTGTTGGAGGAAAAAGAGGCTCAGCTACACCAGTTTAGGAGGTGAGAGCAGTTACATTGGGTTCTTACTGAAAGTTTAAAGGCTACTAACTGCATTGTTTGATCTCAGTAATGCTTTGTTAGCAACAGAAGTCATTGTCGGGACAAACAGCTCATTGAATCCTCATCCTGGTTCGGGGGAACCTACAGTTTTCAGACCTATGGCATCTCGTGATATTTGTGTTTCTGCAACTTCACAAGCAGGTGAAAGAGAACCTAAACACATTGATGATATCAGGCCTGATGATACTCAAGTTTCAACTTCTAAAATTAGTAGTCAAACTCAGAGTGAGAGAAGTGATGTCTCCTCCCCCTCCTCCTCCTCTTCCTTCTTCTTCTTCTGATGATGATGATTCATTCTGAAATGAGCTATTACGTGATCTTTCGACAGACACTGGAAATGGAGCGCAGAGAGAAGAAGAATTCTCTGAAGTGAGAGTGGACTTCCAGGTAGACTCTTTTAAGAGACAATATTGAGTTTAATAGGCTGGGTTTCAGGTCTTTTCTCTCTAATTACTTCAGCAGCTCCTGTCTTCATTTTCGATTGATGCTTATTCTAACATAATAGACATATAAGCGGTATTTATTCTTCCTTTGGACACTGAGGTGGGGTTAATTGATAACTCTGCAATCATATTTTAC